TATATATATATATATATATATATATCTTGTTTAAATTTTCAATCGTTGATAAAATACTTCTTATTCATCCATTCAATTTCAAACTTGCAGTAGATGACACTTGGTGTTAATGCATGAAATAAATTAAAAGTTGAATAAATAATAACAAACAAAAATAATAGCTATTCACTGCGTGCCTGTAGCACAATGGACAACGCGTTGGACTTTTAATTTAAAGATCATGGGTTTGAATCCCACCAGGCATGACCTAATTTCTGAGAATGTGATTTCTTTTTTACAATACTATTTTGTTACAAAAATTTAATTAAATTAATGAATAAATAGTAACAAACAAACAAAAATAGTCCAACACCCTATATAGGAAGGAAAATGGAAAACTTCCCGGAAAATCGCTTTCTATTTTGTCATTTAATATTGTAATTCTGTCATATGTATATACATATTTATATTAATTGTAACTATTTAATAAAAAATAGCTAAGAAATTTTTTTCTTTGTTGACCTAAGTAGGAATTGGCTTGTTTTTTTATATTACTTGTTTAACATTTAAATAATAATGGGCGTACTCGAAAACATGCAATCTAGCGTGCTCACGTAAAAAGTATGTTTCTGTTCAATGAAAATTTGCATATTATCTCTTTCACAAAATAAATTTTAAGACATTAAATAACTTTCGAAATAAGGAATTAGGATTCTTGACGTTTTCAACACTAAAACGTTTTCTTTTAGAAGTAGAAATAAATTCACAAATCCTTTTCTAACTTTCTTTAACGGAATCCATCCATAAAATGCAAATTTTCAATATGTGTCAGTCGTCATTCAGAAAAGTTCTATAGTTTTTCAAATAAACGCAAGGAAGATTTTTCTTTGAATATATTTGACTTTTAGATTTTGAAGATACGAAACAAAAAATGAGCCTTAAAAATCTAATCCACCTAAAGCAGCGTTTCTCAAACTATGGGGCGTGCCCCCCTAGGTGGACGAGATAACTCTGCAAGGGGGGCGCGAGCATATTGAAAAGTAGAAAACAAAAGATTCTTTTAAAAAATTATTAATTTACTGAAAGTAAACAAGCAAAATATATTCTGACATAAAAAAAATACACATTTACACTGATGTAATACATTTATAAATGTTTTAGTACTGCACAATGTATTTTATAATTAATTTAACCATACTAAGTTAAGAAGTTTAAAAATTACCAGTAACCCAATGGGCTTGTCGGCTTACGGTTTATAATTAATCCTTTAACTGCCGATAACCAGGTACGCTATTCGCTCCTCAATGCAACCATCCACGTAAGCGATATATTGGGGGAGAGGGGTGGAAAAGGAATAAATGAGGAAATCCTTTGAAGTAAGTAAATCATTCGCAAGCACTTTTAAGGTCATTTTATTCCATTCCAAAGTTTTTGGAATAATTTTATGGAAAGCAATGCTCAGAAAAGGTCGTACGTCGAAAATACGTATATATACATACGGGGAAATTAACGCTTTGACTGAGCAACATGTTTATATACGCCGGTGGTAGCTTCAGCGCCAAAGTATAGTATTATTGAATTCAATACATTGTTATTGTATG